AAAATAGTCTTTTAGGTAAATGTATGTTTGACGTTTGTACAACATGGCCAGCCCACTGGAATTGTCTCTCTGCTGTAGAATTTGAATGCTTGGTAGTTTAGCTCGAGAAAGACCTTAGTGTCTGATACCTTACTTGCCAGGTGATCTTCAGAATCTTCCTAAGACAATTGAGATGAATCAGCTAATCACTTGCCTCGAATGCCACAGGTATACTGTCTAGGTTTCACGGGCGTACAACAATGAGGTCAGCACAATGGCTCTGTAGACCTTTGGTTTGGTAGGCAGTCTAATACCTCTTCTCTCTTACACTTTCCTTTGGAGTCTCCCAAACACTGAACTAGCTCTGATAATGCGTGTGTCAACTTCATCATCTATATGTATATCCCTGAATAGTATACTGCCAAGGTAAGTGAACTTATCCACAGCATTCAAAATTTTTCTATTTGCTGTAACTGGTGGTACCACATATGGATGGTGTAGTACTGGCTGGTAGAGAACCTCTGTTTTCTTGGTGTTAATTGTTAGGCCAAAATTAGCACAGGCAGCAAATAATCAATCCCTACTGTGTTGTACCTCAGCCTCAGAGGCTGCATTGAGTGCATAATCATCTATGAACAAAAAGTCGAGCATGTATTCTCCCACCACTTTAGTCTTGGCTTGTGGCCCTTTCAAGTTCCTGTCAGTATAGTAGCTGACCTTGATGCCATTTTCATCCTCATGGAAGGTGTCTGACAACACCAAGGAAAGCATCATGCTAGAAAGCATGGAAGCAAGCCTGCTTCAAGCTATCGGTGACTAAGAAATCATGAGAGCCTTGTCCACTATCCAGAATCCATGCAAGCATGCCATCATGTAACTGATGTACAATACCAATGAACTTTTCTGGGTGACCAAATTTCACCATAATTTTCTACAACTCCATAATTTTCCACAATTGACAGCATCAAAGACCTTCATTAGATCGATAAATGTTGTGTACAGACCTCTGTTCTGCTCCTGGCATTTCTCTTGGGCTTGTCAAGCAGCATACACCATATTGACCATTCCTCAGCCCTTTCTGAAGCCACCTTGCTCTCAGGTAGATGACCATCTTCTAGGTAAAGGATCAGTCTATTAAGAAGCACTCTGGCATGAATCTTGCTGGCAATGGCTAAAAGGGAGGACCATCCCCCCCACACATACACCTGTGATTGTCACAAGACAACCTATTTCCCTTTTCTTTATAGAGATGGACAATGGAGGCATCCTTGAACTCCTAGGGAATAATTTCCTCTTGTCATATAACCCAGAAAATTTCTGTCAGCTTTTGTATCACCAGTGGATCTCCTGCCTTGTAAGTCTCAGCTGGAACAGCATCAGCACCAGGTGCTTTGCCACACAAAAGGAGCCTAATGGCATTTAAAGCCTCTTCTTCATTGGAAATTTGGCTAGAGAGGAATTGACTTCAGTCTGAGGTATTCTTCAGTGGCTTCAGCATTGGTTGCTGACAGTCTGTTGAGAGTACTATGGAGTTTTCAGCCCATCTCTCCAGGATCGTGTCTTTATCATTAATCAACGTGGCTCCATCAGCGCTGAGTAGTTGAACTGCACCATTGGTCTCTGTCCCATAAATAGCCTTCAGGGCATCATGAAAGTGCTTTGGATTGTTACTATCAGCATAAAACTGAATCTCACCTGCCTTTTTATTAAGCCAAAAATCCTGCATCTTTCTAAGTTTTGCTCGTACTTTACTTTTGATCTAGTTAAATGCCGCCTTTTTAGAAGCAGATGAACTATCCTGCTGGAAAGTCCTGTGGAGTTCTCATTTTTCATTTAGCAGCTTCTGGATTTCTCTATCATTTTCATCAACCCAATCTTGATGTTTGTGAGTGTTTTGGCCCAGATGAGTAAATTCGGTGCTGTACACCAAATCTCTGAAAGCTGCCCACTCCTTTTCTGCTCCACTTTTGCCAGCCCTGTGATGACTTCACTTTCCTTCCAAGTTAGCAACAACTGTTCACGGTCAGAGAAACATTCTAATCTGTTGACATTCAGTTTTCTGGTAGTTGTCTTGCCTGGGGCCACTGCTTTTGTTGAACGCAAATATTTAGCTTGGAGATGTCTATGGGCAGTCTAGCACTCTGTGGTCACACATTTTCTTTGTCACTCTCACAGCCTGCCAGTCTCTGCTTCTTATAATGACGTAGTTTATTAAATACCAGTGTCTGCTTCAAAGGTACATCCACAAAATTTTATTGCATTTAGGTAAACAAAAGACGGTGTTGATGATGAGAAGGTCATGAGTTCACAAATCTTCAATATTAGTGACCATTTCTGTTGCTGTTTCCAAACCCAAGGACTCCTTGCCATATCTGATAATCTGTGCCTATTCTGGCATTAAAGCCATCCAGAACTACAAGCTTGTCCTCATTTGGAACATTGATGATGAGGGTCTCCAGGTCTTCATGAAATTTTTCTTTGACCTCATCAGGGTTCATCATGGTGGGAGCATACACATGGATGATGGTGGCGTGGTGCTTTCCTTAAAGTGGCAATTGAATTGTCATGTGTCTGTCATTCACTTCTTTTGGGAGGCATACAAGCTTGTTGAGTAGATCAGTTTTGATTGCAAAACCTATGCCAGCGTCATGGCGCTCTCCTTCCCTGTGGCCACTCCAGAAAAAAACACGTATCCAGCTCCAACTTCTGCAAGCTGACCTTTATTTGCCAGCCTTAATTTCACTCAGGGCTGCTATTTGGATGTGATACCTGCTGAGTTCTCTTGCAATGAATGCTGTTCAACTTTAAGGCCTATTGGATTTTGTGTTGTCCATAAGAGTGTGCACATTCCATGTACTGATGGTAAGTAGAATCATCTTCACAAAAGGTTGTGCATATTTTTTTGTGTGCTTTGACAGCAGAGTAGGACCCCAACCTGCTGAGGCAAACAGGCCAGGATTGGGTGAAGTAGACAATTTTTAGAGCACCTTCTCTAGCCCCTTTCTCACACCAGAAAGTGAGCAGTGTGGTCCTCACAAAGGTTGCTCAGACACCCAGGGGGCTGCTGAATCCCACTGCAGCTTTAGTCCAGTGAGATGACCCTGTGACCGCCTGTGTACAGGGTTCTGACTACAGTTCCCAGAGTACCCGAATCTGCTGCTTCATCACAAGCCTGTTGCTATAGGACTTTGAAGTAGGTAAAAATGGTAAAATGGTGTAGGTTATGTCTTTTGACTTGTGCGTAAATTGGATTTAAGGGCAGCAGAGTTGTGCAAAGTCATTGGCCTTACTCTCTGTGTCATCTGTGTCCCGTGTTGACAAAAGTCAAGGTGGTTGGTGATGGCTCAGGATACAGTGGATGACCTTGGCATCTTTGATGTCTAACCAAGTTCTAAGTGCTCCACAGTACCTACCTGACCTGCCTCACTGGCTTTAGAACAAATTGTTCTCATCCATACCACTAGGGAGATTGTGTATTTAGAGCTAGAAGGTCATCCAATAGCCTCCATTATTTATTTATTTATTTTTAAGTAGATAGACAGTATCAGAGCCATCCTGACAACAACCTACCTGGGTAATCCAGCACCAACAGTGTGACCCTTGACAAATTACTTAACTTTTCAGTGCTTGAGGCAATTTTCCAAGACCAGAAGTTGCAGAAAAGGTGCAGACCTCCACTAGAGGAGGAAGATTCGATACCAGGGAGTTTCCTATATACCAGTAAAATCACAGGTCCAATCTTTTATCCCTATCCTTTGGTGCTGTCCTCTTTCTGAGGTAGCTTGTAAAATATGATTCAATACTTTCAAAACTGTGTGGCCTTCAGAAGGGATTTCCTCTGTGTGTGGTCTTATTTAGGACAGTAGCTCTCCCCCACATCTTAAATGCTATTTTGCTTTTCTTTGGGGTAAAGGTGTTAGGTTATATCCACAGTTATGGACCTACTGTGTTGAGTGCACTATGTTAGATTTTGGGAAAGATGATGATAATATTGTAACTGACATTTCTATACTGTAGCAGTTTGAGGTTTGTCAGAATTATAGGTTATCTCTTTTGAGTCTCACAAAAACCTGATGAGAGGTATTCTGTTGTTCAATTCTGTCCAACCACCGTTTGTAGTTTTCTTGGCAAAGATATTAGAGTGGTTTGCCATTTCCTTCTCCAGCTCATTTTACAGATGAGGGAACTGAGGTAAACACGGTTAAGTGACTTGCCCAGGGTCACAGTAAGTGTCTGAGGCCAGATTTGAGCTCAAGAAGATGGGTCTTCCTGACTCCAGATCCAGCACTCTGTGCACTACAGCGCCACCTAGAGTCCCCAAGGAGAGATTGTCTCTACTTTATGGATGAGGAACCCGCATCTCAGAGTTTAAGTGACTTGCCCATGGTCCCACAGTTAGTAAATGAGGACGGCAGGATTTGAATCCAGATCTTCCTGGCTCCAGAAGAATGCAATGTTTATTCAAGACAGTCCCTGCCCTCCTAGAGGGCAGTCTACTTATAGGAATAGTAGACTTACAGTCTACTACGGGGATAAGAGACAACCACATTACACAAGCTGATATGTTGCCTGCATTAGGCAAAACAAAGTGCAATGAGAGGTCTAAGAGAGAAAGACCATTTACTGGCCTGGGAAATCAGAAAAGCCTTCCTGGGAAAGGTGGCTTTTGAGTTAGAACAGCTAAAGCATGCATAAGAATTCAACAGATGAGGAGAGCTTGGAAACCTGTAAATTACGAGGCAGGAAATAAAGGGAGGTGCCCATCCAGAGGACAAAAAGGGGCTCAGAGCAGTGCTGCGAGCACCCCAGCACCAATTTTCACACACCATTTTTGAAGGCCTGTTACATGTAAAGCTCGATTCCAGGTGATAGATGGACAGACTCCCTAGGGTGCGAACTCAGAGCTGGGAGGTAAGGGAGTACTGTTGCTGCCCTAGCATTGCTCCCCGCCCCATTCCCACCTCCAATCGCCTGCCTACCATTCTTCCCCGCCACCCCGAATGCAGCTGAGGCGCCCCCGCCCCTCCCCGTACGCAGCACTGGCGAAGCTGCCCCTTCTGATTCCCGACAGGAGCGCGCCCAGCTCCAGCTGTTCCCGCGCGTCATCGCCATTGACCCGGGCCTGGGTCCGGCTGCTTCTGTGCGCGTTCGGTCCATCAGGCTCCGCTTCTCTCCCGCTGTTGGCAAGGCCAGGGAGCTCTCAGTACTGGGGGGCTGGAGCCGAGGCGGTGGAGGCAGGCGTTGGCAGCGTCACCAGAGTCATGGAGGAGCAGCCAACCTTGGAACAAGATTGCCGTGAGTCCCTGCGTCTGGGGCGCATTGCCCTGCGGGGGTGCTGTCCTCTTCCCTACCTCTGGGGAGGAGGTGTGTGGGGAGGTGAGGGTATCTTCCCTGGGGAAGGCTCCTTCTGTTGCCCGGAGCGCGTCTGAGGAGGCTCTCGGCCGCCTCCGGGCCCGGCTGTAAGCCCAGTGGTTCTGGGCCACTGAGCGCTTTGGTGCGCGGGCTTTAGCGGTTTCCCTGTTCCCAGACAGACAGGTGGGAGGACTAAAAGTGCTTGGCGAGATTTCTTAAGCCTGTGTTCCCTGTGGGGTTGAGGAGTCGCTTGGAGAGGGGTGGGGGGAGGCTTGCACTCCATTTTGGTTTACAATTCCGATTTAGTCATTTGCAGTCGTCCCAAAGAGCTAAGACACCCTTTCCCTGCTCATTCCAACCCATTTGCACAAACTGACCGTGTTAGATACGTGGTGGAGTGGGAGCAGCCCTGAGCTGATCTGGGAACGATTCCCCACACAAATGATGGAAACAGTGGGAAGGGAATCTTACTTAGAAACCTCAGAGGACTTTTATTTGCACTCTGAGGTAGTTTAGTTTCGAAGTCATGGAATTCCCAAAATTGGAACTGCTAGGGTTCGTTTCATTTTACAGATGAGTAAACTGAGGCCCATAGAAGGCAAACGATTTGCCCAGGCTCAAAGAAGGGTATATGGGAAGGTCGATTCCTAAAAATCATCTTCACTTGGATTATACCCAGCGCTCTATATTATTGGAGCAGGATCTGAATTTGGGTTGGTCAGGTCCACACCACTGGAGTCTGCCAGTTCTTTGTCCAGAATGTCCAACCCGGGGTTCTTCTGAGAGTACTCAATCCGTGTTGGCACCTGAGTGGCTGAGACAGAGCTGACCAGCAGCAAAAAAAAAAAAAAGCTGGTTTCACTATGGTCGGCGTTTGAGGTGTTTGTTCGCTACTGCAGAGAGAGAAAAATGTGTTTGCTGAAATTAACCTTAACTCCTAGGAAACATGAAGAGCCTTGGTCAAGCTGGAAAATGATGAAGGGGGTGGATTGGATGGCCTCCAGGGTCCAGCTCTAGATCCTTGATCTGTGACTGAGGGGGGGGTAGACCAGGAATAGTCACAGCATCATGGCAAGACTTTCCCTGACTAGTGTATCTACCATTTGTCTCTAAAGTTACTCTTCTCCTGGTTTGGAGGCAGGGCCCACACAGGCAAAATGTGTCTTGGGGGCTATTCCCTTCCCCTTTTCGTGCCCCTTTCCTTCCTGGCACCTCCAGAGGCCAGTGCCTTCACGTTGTCTGCTAGCTATCCAAAGCTGTCCCTAGCAGTGCTGCACCTAAGTCTCCCCCAGGTGCCCCAGGTTCAAAAATGACCTCCATAGACTGAAAGGTCAGCCCCTTTTCTCCACCACTTCATCTCTCAGTGGAGCTAAAGATCTGGAGGAGAGCAGTTGCCGGCAGTATAGTATAGTAGGGGTTAGGTCACTGGACTTGGAGGCAGGAAGACCTGGCATCAAATCCCACACAAAATACTTACCAGCCATGTGACTCTGCGCAAGTCAATGTGCCTCGGTTTACTCATCTGTAAAATTATGGGGTTGGACTTTATGGCTTCTAAGGTCCCTTCCAGCTCTAACTCTGTGATCTCATATTATAAATTAATTCTCATTTTGGGTAGGCTGTTCCAGATGACTTCTTAAAGCCCATTTTCTCACCTCAAGTTTCCATAAACGCATACTGAGGTGTATAATCTTTCAAGTCAACAAACCTTCAGAGAATATCTGGAAGGCAAAGTGTATATTCTAGGGGAAAATCGCTGCTTGGCAGTTAGGTCTGTTGCCTAGATCATTTTCTTGTTTTATCTGAGGAGTGTCAGCCATCTGCCCCATGAATACACAGTGGAGTCCAGGACCTATCCACAAACATTACAACTTGACCGAGGGTTTGGTCGTAATAAAACATCAAGATTATGGAGACCTGGGTGGTTCTGCCTCTGGCCAGCAAATATTTACCCTCAAGAAATGGAATATCATGTTAGTGAAGGAAAGAGGTCTACAACTGCCAGCTCCATTATTTTTATTTATTTTTTATTTTTTGATGAGGGCAATTGGGGTTAAGTGACTTGCCCAGAGTCACACAGCTGGTGAGTGTTATGTGTCTGAGGTTGGATTCGAACTCAGGTCCTCCTGACTCCAGGACTGGTGCTCTATCCACTGTGCCACCTAGCTGCCCCTCCATTATTATTTTTTAATAAATGCTTACTGATAATCTTTTGTTTGTACATCATCTAGTTTTCCTTCTGTATCCCTTCTCCCCCATCACATAAGAATTTTTAAAAAGAAGAAAAAAATTCAGCAAAAACTACACCAAAAAAATCTGATATTATATTAGTGCTGCAACAAATATCTGATCAACTTGGAGGTTGCCTTTCTTGATCTAACAGAGACACTAAAATGAGTTATCTCTCAGTCTGTGATGTGGACCCCCACATACTCAAACTCTCAAGTCCTGAGAGTTCATTAAAAAAATGAGTTTTATTGGTGTTCTTTTTAAAAATATCATGATTAAATTTGGAACTCAAAATCTTGTGGAAGTAAATGTTGAAAACTAAAAATAAATAAATTTTTTAAAAAAGAAACATAAAAAAAATCACGATCAATACCAAATGACTCCCTGCCTCTCAACAGAATGTTCCGTTGTAACAAATAAATACCATTAAACAAATCAAATCAACACGCGGGCAGGTCTGAAAACAAGTATGCATTGTCCACAACCTGTGCTGAGAAATGGCAGGCATATTTTACCTTTGGGTCATAGTTGGTAACACAACAAAGCAGGATTTTTCCAATCTTGTTTTCCTTTACATTGTTATGGTCATGAGGGCAAATTTTTTGTTTTTTTCCTGATTCTGCCAGCTTCATTCTATGTTAGCTCTTACAAGTCTTCCCATGTTTCTCTGAATTCTTCATATTTGTTATTTCTTAAAGTACAATATTATTCCGTTAATTCTCATGCCACAATTTATTCAGCCATTTCCTAACCCGTGGGGGTACCCAATTTTCTTCCAGTTTTGCCACTACAAAGTGTTGCTATAAATATTTTAGCAACTTTTATTCTGTCTCTTCCTTGTATACATGCCTAGTAATGGTTGTTGTTGTTTGTCCTTGGCCTTTAAGAGGACCAATGACATCAGGAGGGTAATGTTTTGAGTTGCAAGTGAATTGGATTCAGGCAGGGCTATGAAAAGTCATCAGCCTCACTCTGTCCCCCAGAGAGGGAGTCCAGTGGCAAGACATAGGTAAGGACCACTGGTGATGGCTCTGGGTGCAATGGGAGACCCTGGCTCTTTTAAGCTAAGATCTTTCCCAGGTCTCAGTTTGTCTGAGACAACCCCCATTGAGTGATTAAAGGCTAGGTAAGAATTGAGGCAAAAGATGGCCTAGTTGGACTTCACAAAAAGGTGTAATCGGTCTATAGTGACTTTTGCCACAGGAATACTATTAGAACTCAGAACTGTATTAATCAGATGTCTTGTATCTTCTAGGATTTGACATCATATTCCCTAAATGTTACTTTTGCTTTCCGGGGATCTTCACTAGCACCCTGTGCCCACTCAAATTGGCCTGTACAGGCTGTCTTAATTTTGAATTATCTTCTGTGTTCCTTAAGTGGAAGTTTCTCCAAATTCTCTGGGAATTCATATCCAAAGCCCCCAAATGAACCTTCAGACTGTCCTGAGATCTTCCTGTGAACACCCTTCCACAGCAGTGATTCAATTCAATAAACATTTATTGAGTACCTGCTACCAGGCACTGTGCTAAGTACTAGGGACATAAAAAGAGGCAAAAGGTCTCTGCCCTCAGGGAGCTTACAATCTAATGGGGGGGCAACTTGCAAACAAATATCTACAAAGCAAGCTATATACAAGATAATTGTGAGATAATTAAAAGTTAAGAAGGATTGGAGAAGTCTTCCTGTAGGAGGTGGGATTTTAGTTGGGATTTAGAGGAAGACATGGAGGTCAGTAGTAGGAGTGGAGGAGCTAAAGCATTCTAGGCGTGGGGTTACAGCCAGAGAAAATGCCTGGAGCTGAGAGATGGATTGTCTTGTTCATGGAACAGCAGGAGGCCAGTGTCACTAGACTGAAGAGCATGTACCTGGGAGTAAGTTTAAGAAGACTGGAAAGGTAGGAGGGAGCTAGGTTATGAAGGGCTTGGAGGCCAAGCAGGGCACTTCATTTTTGCTCCTGGATGCAATAGGAAGACACTGCAATTTACTGAGTAGGGGAGTAGTGACATGATCAGACCTCTGCTGTAGAAAAAACACTTTAGTAGCTAAATGGAGAGTGGATTGCAGTGGGGAGAGACTTGAGGCAGGCAGACCCACTAGCAGGTTATTGCAGTAATCCAGGCACGAGGTGATGAGGGCCTACACCAGAGTGGTAGCAGTGTCAGAGGAAAGAAGGGGGCACATTTAAGAGATATTGCAAAGGTGAAATTGGCAAGCCTTGGTAACAGATTGGATATTGGGGGGAGGGGGAGGAGAGTGAGGAGGAGAATGTTGCCTCTACACTATCTCCACAAGTGATCAACTTACATTTGCTTAAAGATTTTTAGTGAGGGGCAACCCAACATCTACAGGAATAGGAATTGTAGGCAGGGGGTGGTTTAGAGGGTTTAAGGGAAAAGATAATGAGTTCTGTTTTGGACATATTGATTTAAGATGTATACGGGACATAGAGTTCAGGATGTCTGAAAGGCAGTTGGAGATTCAAGATTGGAGGTCAGCAGAGAAATTGGGGTGGGAAAGGTAGATTTGAGAATCATTAGCACAGAGATGGTAATTAAATCCATGGGAGCTGATGAGATCCCCAAGTGAAGTAATATAGAGGGAGAAGAGAAGAGGGCCCAGGACAGAACCCTGAGGGATACCTACAGTTAGAGGGCATGATCTGGAGGAGGATGCAGCAAAGGAGACAGAGCAGGAGCGGTCAGAGAGGCAGGAGGAAAACCAGGGAAGAGCATAGTATCCTGAAAACCTAGAGAGAAGAGAGTATCAAGGAGGAGGGAGTGATCAACAGTGTCAAAGACTGCAGAGAGGTAAAGGAGAATGAGGACTGAGGAAAGGCCACTGGATATGGCAATTAAAAGATCATTAATAACTTTGGAGAGAACAGTTTTATGAAATACAGTTGGAAGCTAGATTTTAAGGGGTAAAGAGAATGAGAGAAAATGAAATGGAGGTACCTCTTATAGACGACTTTTTCCGGGAGTTTAGATACAAGAATCAAAAGAGAAACAGGACAAATGAAAAAAACCAAACTACTATCTCTAGAAAATCACAATCTCAGAAGCTCTCTAGCCTGACCTCTCTCTGACAAGAAAGTCCTCTGCACAGTATCCACAAGTGATCGATCAACATTTGCTTAAAGATTTTTAGTGAGGATCAACCCACCATCTCCGGAAAAGGCCCATTATGGAAATTTGGACCTTTGGGAAAACTCTCATTGTTGGTCAGTGTTTCCTTATGTCTAGCTTAAATCTGCCACATTGCAATTTCAACCCATTCTCCTACAGAGCAGAAAATCCCTCTTCCAGATGCCAGCTCTTCAGATGCTTGAAGAAAGTTATGATGTCTTCTCTTCTCCAGGAGAAATGTTTCCAGTTGTTTTTTCAACCAGTCCTCTTGTGGCGGGATCTCAAAGCTCTTCCCTATCCCGGTTGCCTTTCTTTAGACAACTTTCAGTTTGTCAATATCTTTATGAAAGTGTGGCTTCAAGAATGGAACAGGATACTCAGGTGGTCCAACCAGTAATGAGTATGGAGGAGGAAGGACAGTCACCTCCCTACTCCTGCATACTATACCTTTCGCATTGTAATCTAAACTCACATTAAACATCTTTGGCTGCCATATCTCCCCATTGATTCCAATGGAGCCTTCAAAGGTCCATCCACACCCCCACATCTTTTTCAGATGAGCTGCTCTGTGGTGACACTTGTTCCATCTTATACTTGTAAAGCTGATTTTTTTTAATTTTATTTTCATTTTTTAGGCAATTGGGGTTAAGTGACTTGCCCGGGTCACACAACTACTAAGTGTCAAGTGTTTGATCTGAGCTGGATTTGAACTCAGGTCCTCCTGACGTCAGGGCCGGTGCTCTATCCACTGTGCCACCTAGCTGTCCCAAAGTTGATTTAAAAAAAAAACCCAACTGCAAGACTTTCCAATTATCTTTAATAAATGTTTAGATGAAATTTTTATTGATATGTTTGGTATTTTTCACACTACCAGAATTTCTCCCAGTATCTCTCCCTCATCCCAAAGAACCAGCCCACATAACAACAAAAAAAAAAAAAGACAAAAAAAAAATCAGCAAACCCAATCAGTGCATCAAAAAAGTCTGAAAACATATGCAGGGTACTATACCCAGGTACTTCCCACCTCTGCAAAAAAGTGGGGATGGGGTATCTTTTCATAGCTCTTCTTTAGGCCCATGCTTGTAACTTTGCAACATTAGCTTTTGATTTTCTGTGTGTGGTTGTTCTTTCCATTTATATTATTGAAGTTATTGTGCATATCTCTATTAAATTTATTTATTTATTTTTAGATTCATTCCAGCATTGCTGTCTGTCAGAATCTTTTTCTGGATCTTGGCTCTAGCATCCATTATATTAACTCTCTTGATAACTAGTCACTTTTACTGATTCCATCTCCTCCCCCTTCCCCTTTCCCACAGCCCTCCCCGCCCTCATTAGGAACCCTCTCTAAAAGCCTAAGGGGTATAGCTGGAGGTGGGGGTGCCGCAGCTGTAAGCCCTCCTCCCTCAGCACCCAGCTGTCCCCTCTTTGAAATCTATCAGTGTGGTGGGTTTCAGATTTTATCCTAAAAGCAATTTGATGGAATGATGGTGAGGAGAGGGGAGAGAAAAGGGACATTACTAAGAGTAAGGTGGAGCAGGGAAGACCAGAGAGGTCTGCATGGCCCGAGAAAAATGATACTGCCTTTATAAGTTGCTGAGGGCCAATCCTGCTTTCATAATAGGCCATTAAGAAAAACTAGGATGTTTGATTCGTTACCTTTTGAAGTTAATGTTAAGAAGTGCCAGTCATGGGCTCCCAGAAGACTTTCATCAGTCTTCTCTCCTAGCCAACTCCCACTGGAGATTGGATTCTAGGCTCAGTAGACCATGGGTGTAACCCAGAGTGGACTTACTCAGGCTCTCAAGTTCACAGACTGCTCTTTGGTAAGTGACTTGGTCTGGATAGCTCACTTGTGGGCCTCCTTGAGGAACAAAAAACAAAGCTGGGGCTGATTCACTTCTTGGATCCCCAGGCCCTTCATTATAATGCCCACCAGTTGTCTACCCAAACCTTCTTTCTTATCCTTTGCTTCCCTCTATTCCATCTTTCTTTCCTTTCTTCTTTAGTGCTTCCTTTGGAGAGACAGTTCCATGAGGCAGCCAGACGGAACAACATTGGGAGGATGAAAGAATTGATTGGGATGGGGGTCAACATCAGAGCCAAAAACAATGTAAGTCATTTTTCTCTCTAGGACCAATTAACTTTTCTGGGCTCTTCTGGGGGCAGGGTCTATGAATACATTTTAGGCAATCTGTGAATGTAGATGGGGGGAAAAGGACATCTTTATTTTCACTAACCTCTAGCTAAAATTAAACATTTATTTCAATTTTGAATGTTGGTAGCAAAACCTTCTTTTGATAAAGGGTCCATAGGCCCACTAAATTGCCAAAGGGGTCCATGATGCAAAAATGGTTAAGCACTTCTGTTCTAGGTCAAAGTAACTTTATAAGTTGAATTTATTATATACTTTTTGAAAAAAAGTAATTTGTATGTACTATTTTGCAGGTTTACACATATCTTTTTCAATTCTACTTTGTATGTGAAAAAGTTCTTTTTTGATCCTTTAATTCAGAATAAAAAATTAATGACTATATTGGCATGTTAAGAGCAGATGTTTGTAGTCAGAAACATAGCAAGTTATCGATTGTGACCTCACTGAGGTCAGGGACTGTTTTTGTCTTTAGCACAGCGCCTGGCACGTGGCAGTCAGTGTGTAACAAATGCCTGTTGACTTGTCTTCTCCAAGCGTCCACCCTGGCTGGTCCCAGTTATGGGGCACATCTATGGGTGCTGTTAGTTCTGGGATCCAGGGTAACATCAGAGGATCATAGACTGAGCTAGAAGAGACCTTAAAGTCCATCAAACCAACCTCCTCCTTACACAGATGAGGAATCTGAGGCTTAAGGAGGCTAAGTGACTTGCCTAGGGTCACACAGCTGGTAGGTATCTGAAGCACTATTTAAAGTCTTTCTCACTCCAAATCCAACTCTATCTTCTGTGCTCCCTAAATAGCAGTGGGCCTAATAAATTTGGGGGCAGCCTGAGAGCCCAGGATGGAACAGAGGTGCAAGATTGGACTGGACCTTGGCCAGGTCCTAGATGCTGGTGATCAAGGTAGAACCTATCGCACCATCCGAATTTATAGATACACATAGGTACTAGTGGTCAGCTCAAGGTCATGAGTCCAAACCAGGTGGGCAATCTGGAGTCAGATCATATGCCATAAGGAGAGTTTGGGGCAACTGGTGAGAGAAAGATTTGGCAGGTAGCCGTGAATCGGGGGGCCATAAACACTATTGATCAGGGCAAGAAAAGTGGTAAAGAGTTTAGGCAAATACATAGTCAAGAACCAGGAGAACTCAGATTATAGAGGCGAGAGCAAGACAGAGTAAATAGTGCAGACCTATAGTCAGCAACCAGGAAGCACCTAATACACATTTAGGGTTGAAGAAGTAGAAAGCCCAAGGCAAAATGTTATCTTCCTCCTTCTTTGCAGAAGTAGAGCACTATGGGTGTAGAATATTACTTATGCTGTCAGACACAAAGGAGGTTTGGTTTTGCTGAGCTGCCTTTTTTTCCACTTTCTTTTAAAAATTTTTGTTAAAAGGAATGGCTCGGTAGAGAGTGGAGGGAGCAGGGAAATATTTGGTAATGAAGGTTATATAAAAACAAAATATACCAATAAAAGATTCTTAAAAGAGAAAGAACAAGGCATTGGTTCTAGAAATAAAGAAACTGAGGCAACTTGCTGCCTTGGGCAGGAAGGTTTTAAATGCAGGTGCTTATGTCCAGAACCAGCCTGGTATGGCTAGTCTGGAATGGGAAGGTTTCGGAAGCAGGTGAACAGAGGCACCTTTGAAGTACGGAGTGTGGGGCAGGGAGGAGCTGAAAGGCAGCTCCTAACAGCCAGATTCTGACAATACCTGGACCTGAAATACATGCCTGCCTAAGCACTTCACAAAGATCCTTTCATTTGATCCTCATAACAACCTGGGAGATACGTGCTATTATTCTCCCCATTTTACAGTTAAGGAAACTGAAGCAGGCAAAGAGTAAATTACTTGCCTGGGATCACACAGCTAGTAAGTGTCTGAGGCTAGGTTTGAACTCCCAGTCGTCTGGGAGTTCTATCCACCATACCAGCCTAGCTGCCTCAGGGGAAGGTGAGCACAATTATACTGTACCCTACCTGAACTTCAGAAGATATGCCACCTAGGCCACAGGTGATGAGCTGAAAATAATTGCACATCGTTCTACTTTTCCTGCCGTTTCAGTTCTTGGGTCAGTAGGAGCTGGCCAGAAGAGACACTGATGACCATACCAGTGGCTCTCATTCATTATTCCCTCCTCTCCTCTCGGACCTTAGGGTCACTTTTTTTTTCCTCTTGCCCACTCCTTTCTGCCATGCTCAAGTAGAAATCCTTTGCATTTTATATTTTTGAAATACTTCTATATCCATTTAAATGTGAAATTCAATTTAAAAAGACTGTAGCAGCCTTCTTTACCCCAGTGAATAATCAGAAGCATGAAAGGAAGCAAGGAATTGGGAAGCTAGAACATGCCAGGAGCCTACTGGGAGGAGAATAAAGGAGAGAAAATTGGGTGTGATTTTTTGGTAGTTTGCGGATAACAGCCAGGAAGGGGGCAGCCCAGGTTTGAGGTTGACGGATTCTCTGTTCTCCTGCACAGATGGGCAGGACGGCGCTGCACTGGGCTTCCGGGGCTGGGCACGAGCAGGCTGTGAGATTACTCCTGGAGTACGAAGTGTCTGTGGATGACAAGGACAAGGTAGGCGGGGGTGAGGAGTCACGGTCTCTTACTCTGTATTTCTGAGCAAAAAAATGGTCTCTTTGAGTCTTAATCTAAAACTCAGGGTTTTCACTCTGAATTTGTTCCACCAACCTGTAGCATTTAATTTACACCTTCCACACTAAAGAGAACACCATTGTGCCTTAATAGTAAGTTATATAGACACATGGCAGCAGACCCATAGGTACCTGGATTAACACAGACGTAGAGAGACCCAGACAGGTTCATGGACAGTCGCAGCTACAGAGGGCCTGGGAAGTTTTGTCCTGAAAAGGCAATATTTTGTGGGCATATAATGGCTGTCTTGAAGCATATGAAGGCCTGCCGCTGTGTGGAAGAGAAATTGGACTTGTTCCACTGGGTTCCAGAGGACAGAATAGGGACAGTGAGCAGAAGTTACAGTCATAGCTAGGTTTGATGGAAGGAAAAACTTACAATTATAGCTATCCGAAAATGGAATAGGCTGCCTCTGGAGGTAGATTTCTCTTCACTAGAGGTCTTTGAGCAAAAACTGGCCGATCATTTGTCAGATATATTTTGGAGAGATTTGTTATTCAGGTATGGGTTAGATTAGATGGCCTGAGATCTCTTCTAGGATTTTGTAATAGGCAAGTACGTGAAGGGACTGGTTATAAAGAATCCCCAAATGTTAGAGCTGCAGAGCATCTCAGAGCCAGGGTCTGTTAACCTAGGATCTTTGAAATTGCTTTTTTAAAAAATTTAATATTTTGATGACTTATTTCAATGTAATCAGTTCCCTTTGTAATGCTATATATTTAAAATCATTGTTCTGAGAAGGGGTCCATGACACCAAAAGGGTTAAGAACCCCTAAACTAATCTAACTCCCTCATTTTATAAATGAGAAACGGAAACTCATGGTTAAGAATGAGGGAGCAACATGTTCAAAGTCACGCAAAAGGTTTATGGAAGAGCGGGGATTAGAACCTTGATCGCCTGATGACACTTTAGTGCTTTTTCCATTACACTGTGATGTAGTATAGTGGAAAGGCCAATAAGAGGATCTGAGTTTGAATTCTGGCCTTTCTTCTTACTACTGGAGTGATGTAGGGAAAATTACTTCCTGTCTCTGGGCCTCAGTTAGCTCATCTGTAAAATGGGATCAGACTGAGTAATCTTAATGTCCCTTCCAACTCTAAATCCTATGAGTCTGTAAGTAAATCTACGGATTATATTCAGTTGTGTCCAACTCTTTGTGACCCCATTTGGAGTTTTCTTGGCAAAGATATTGTAATGGTTTGCCATTTTCTTCTCCAGCTCACTTTACAGATGAGGAAACTGGAGGCAAATGGGGTTAAGTGACTTGCCCAGGGTCACACAGCTAGTAAGTGTCTGAGGCCAGGTTTAAATACAGGAAGATGAGGCTTCCTGACTCCATGCCCAGCACTGTATCCACTTGGATACCCAGATACATCATATGCATGTTCACTGAATTTAAGAAAAGTATTTGGCATTCAATAAAGTCTTTCATGATATTCTTGTGGGGTAAATAATTGCACTTGGATCTGTAGCTAGCCAAACAACTGCATCTAAAGGGATGAACAGAATCATTATTACTCGCCTTCTGCCCTCTCTTTTGGCTTGCTGTAGAAGCGCCAGGTATTAGCCCCTGAGAGTGATTATCATCTACTCACCACCCAGGCCCTCACAAATCCCTCACTCCTCCCCTTCCCACATTCTGCCCATTGAATCATTTCACGGCTGCAGCAGGCGCTCCTCAGTATGCCACTCTGCCCACCTCTCCCCACTTTTGTTTTCAATGGGACAGTGAGGCATGGATAAGTTGGGTTCCCCCCTCCAAACCCATCCTTCCTCTGCATGTCCTTATTACTGCAGAGGGCATGCCATCTTTCCAGCTTATCCTCCTTGACTTTGCACCTTCCCTCACCCCACGTAGCCATTTGAATGGCCAAATCTTGTCATTTTTACCCCCACAATATCTTTCAAATTCGCTTCCGCTCAGGCCTTCAGCACCTCTTTCCTGGACTTATAACAGTCTCCTAATAGGTATCTTTGCCTCGTCCCTCTCTGCTCCAATCCATCCTCCTCTGAGCTGCCAAAGTGCTTTTCCTAAAGCTTAGAGTATAACCTTGATACTCCCTGGTCAATCTCATGACAGCCTAGTCAATAAGCAACAAAAATTCCCTATTGACTCTGGATCAAATACTGCTATCTTTATTTCATCCTTTTTTGTTTGTTTGTTTTGTTTTTAGGCAATTGGGGTTAAGTGACTTGCCCAAGGTCACACAGCTAGTAAGTGTCAAGTGTTTGGCCGGACTTGAACTCAGGTCCTCCTGACTTCAGGGCTGGTGCTGTATCCATTGCGCCACCTAGCTGCCCGATTTTTTTTTTGAGGCAATTGGGGTTAAGTGACTTGCCCAGGGTCACACAGCTAGTAAATGTCAAGTATTTGGTCTGAGGCCAGATTTGAACTCAGGTCCTCCTGACTTCAGGGCCAGTTCTCTATCCACTGCGCCACCTAGCTGCCCCACATCCTTTTAAAAATATCTATTTTTGTATAAGTTTTATAGTGTGGATATTTAGTACAGTAATATGTGTATATATCATTTATAAATATGTGTACATATTGGTGCATGCTCAGATTTTATGCTAATAGGGTATACCATCCAAAAAGCTTGGAGACTCCTATCTAGACATTAAGCAATAGGGCCAGTGTGTTAGTTACAGTCAAATTTTGCCTTAATATTAAGGGTTTTCGGTAGAACAGGCTGTCCTGAGAAAGTGTTCAAACTGAGGCTTGGATGACCATCCCTGAGGGAGCCAGTGAGTTAACAAAAATTTATTTAGCCCCTACTGTGTTCCAGGTGCTGCGCTAAGCATCATCCCTGGAGAGGGGGTGCCTGCCTTAGGTGGGAAATTGAACTGCGTGACTTTAAAATTCCCTCCTGACCCTAAAATTCTGAGACTCTGCAAGTCACAACCATAAAATTCCGTGACATTTAGGTTCATGGACATGCAGATATAGAATTACACAGACCTATAGGCATGAATGTGTACAGATGCCTCAGCACATGGACATGCAGGGGTGTCTGGGCATGTGATACGAGTACATAAGTAAACATGCCTCTATGGAGCAGGAAGAAATAAGCCACAGGAAGAATGAAGAAAAAACCACAGTCTACATCTTTCTTCTTCTCTCCCTCTAGTTTGGGATGAACGCACTGCTTCTCTCTGCCTGGTTTGGCCACCTAAGGATCCTACAGCTGCTAGTCAATTCAGGGGCCAAGATCAACTGTGAAGACAAGGTGAGACCACTGCCTAACTATGGGGGCAGATGAAGCTGGACTACAGAGCTGCCTGCCCCCAGCTGGAAACATGTGCTGGGAGTGAACTGTAGGGAGGCCTAGGAATGTAAGCAAGCAAGGTAATAAAGCAGGATCTCCACCCCTCACCCCAACGCCGTTTCCCCAACTGCTTCTAGATTGAAGTCTGTAAGACTTAAGCAGGGCTATACTGGGGTCCTGGGATACAAACAGGGCCACAGCCTTGGGAAAAAGTGTTGGTGAGTACAATCTTCATGTGTATGTGGGGCAGGGGAGGAGAGGTGAGGGGATGGGAACTCAAGCGACACCTGTCCTCCTCCCCTCTTTTCTCCAGCCTCCTCTCCTCTCCCCCATCCCCCTCTTTTCTCTCTCCCTCTCTTCTCTTCCTCCTCTCCTCTCTTCTCTCCTCTCATCCCCTCTCTTCTCTCCTCTCATCCCCTCTCTTCTCTCCTCTCATCCCTCTCTTCTCTCCTCTCATCCCCTGTCTTGTCTCCCCTTATCCCTCTCTTCTCCCCCCTTCTCCTCTTTCTTCTTTCCCCTCCTTCCCTCCCATCTCTCCTCCCCTCCCCTCTCTTCTGTGCACCCTGCCTCCCCTCTCTCCCCTTTCTTCTCTCCCCTCTGTTCTGTCCCCTCCTCCCCTTTCTTCTCTCCCCTCTCTCCCCTTTCTTGTCTCCCCTCCTCCTCTTTCTTCTCTCCCCTCTCCCCCTCTTCTCTTTCCCCTCTCTTCTCCCCCTCCCCTATATTTTCTCCTCCTTCCCCCCTCTATAGTCAGGGACTTATTCAAAGACCCAAACCATAGAAATTTTTGCTCCCTCCTCCTCCACAGGCCTCCTTACCTATGACCATATTCATATCATATCCATCTGCCAAAGACTCTCTGAGACCTTTGCCCTGTCCTCATTCCTCTCTGTTGCTGCATGAGCTTTGAGAAGCTCACTCCTGCTGTGATAGGATATAGAAAGCATGGGGAGAGGGATGTTTTTAAGGAATACTTGGAGTCTATCAGCATTGCTGGAACTATAGCTGTATATATTCAGTGGACCTTTTGTGGGCTAGCCTTGGAAGTACAGAAGCAGACTAAGGCCCCTCTCAGCTCTCCCTCTTTCAGAAATATTTTTTCCTGTCTTTTTTTTTAAGATTCATTAATTGATTTATTTTTTGTTTTCAACATTCACTTCCACAAGATTTTGAGTTCCAAATTTTCTCCCCATCTCGTCCCTCTCCAAGACAGCATGCATTCTGAATACCCTTTCCTCTAATCTGCTCTCCCTTCTATCTCCCCACCCCGCTTCCCTTATCCCCTTCGTCTTCTATTTTCCTGTAGGGCAGGATAGATCAGAAATATTTTTTAAAAGTACTTAAAAAGAATATCAAGAGGGGGCAGCTAGGTGGCACAGTGAATAGAGCACCCGGCCCTGGAATCAGGAGGACCTGAGTTCAAATGTGGCTTCAAACACTTGATACTTACTAGCTGTGTGATCCTGGGCAAGTCACTTAACCCCATTGCTTAGCAAAACAACAACAAACAAACTAGGTGAGAACTATATCTTATATCTTATATGAAGATCAGATCAATATGGGTACATGATTTAGACATAAAGGGTGATACCATAAGCAAATTAGAGAGCAAAGAATACTTTACCTGTCAGATTTATGGAGAAGGGAAGAATTTTTGACCAAACAAGAGGTAGAGAGCATTACAACATGTAAAATGGATAATTTTGATTCTATTAAAGTTTTTGTGCAAACAAGACCAATGCAACCAAGATTAGAAGGAAAGCAGGAAGCTGGGAAACAATTTTTACAGCAAGTGTCTCTGATAAAGGCCTCTAAATAACATAGAGAACTGAGTCCAATTTATAAGAATAGAAGTCATTCCCGAATTAATGAAAGGATATGAACAGGCAATTTGAACAGTCATATGAAAAAATGCTCTAAATCACTATTGATTAGAGAAATGTAAATTAAAACAACTCTGAGATACTCCTTTACACTTATCAGATTGGCTAATATGACAGAAAAGGAAAATGATAAATATCAGAGGAATGTGGGAAAATTGGGACACTACTATGCGTTATTGGTGGAGTTGTGAACTGATCCAACCGGTCTGGAGAGCAATTTGGAACTATGCCCAAAGGACAATCAAATTGTGCATACCTTTGATCCAATACCACTACTAGGTTGGTATCCCAAAGAGACTTTTTTTAAAAAAGGAGGAAAGACCTACATATACAAAATATTTATAGCAGCTCTTTTTGTGGTGGCAAAGAATTGGAAATTGAGGGGATGCCCATCAATTGGGGAATGGCTGAACAAGTTGTGGTATATCAATGTAATGGGATACTATTGTGCTATAAGAAATGATGAACAGGTGGATTTCAGAAAAACTTGGAAAGACTTGTATGGTCTGATGCTGAGTGAAGTGAGCAGAATCAGGTGAACATTATATGCAGTAATAGCAATTTTGTACAATAATCAACTATGAGTAATAGCTCTTCTCAGCAATACAATGATCCAAGACAATTCCAAAGGACTCATGATGAAAAATGCTGTCCACATCCAGAGAATGAACTGATCGAGTCTGAATACAGATGGAAGCATATGATTTTCGCATTCTTTATTTTTTTGTGTGTTTTTTCTTTTGGTGTAGTTTCTTCTTTTACAATGTGACTAATATGGAAATACGTCTTATATGATTGTACATATATAACCTACATCTTATTGCTTACTGTCTTAGAGAGGGGAGAAGTGAGGGAGAGAGGAAGGGAGAAAATTTGGAACTCAAAGTTAAAGAAAACGAATGTTAAAAACTGTCTCTGTATGTAATTGGAAAAAGTAAAATAGTATTAAAATAAAAAATTAAGTATTTACAATTATCTTCATCTGAAGCCTTTGGATTAATCTGAAAAATACATTTTATCAGTCTTTCTTTAGCTATCAATTCCAAAACAGTGACCTGCATTGGAATCTTTCTACCCTATCCCCAGAGGAAGGACTCTCCAAAAGTGATTTGTATCAGACTAAGAGAAGAAAGAACTCTGGTTACTTTATTTAATAGAAGTATTTCTGGAAACTTTAGACCAGCTGGAAAGGAGAACTCAAAGGGAGTGGTCAGAGAGATTGAATAATTTTGGGAAAATGACAAGGGTGTGCCAAATTAAGTCACTTATTAGTCTGTTTGATAAAGCAAAATGTTGCCTGAATTTTTCCCCTTGGCTCTCTGTAAGCACAGTTTAGTTTAATGAGGAATTCTGTCTGTTGTTTGAGCATAACCCAAATTGAAACTCCAGACAAGCTTGAGTTAGAAGTTTTCAAAGTAATGAGGTAACTGCCCATCTTTGTTCCTTTCTAAGAAAAAATGCTTAGATTTAGAATCATCTAAAGTAATAAAATTGCTTCTAGCAGGCTCATGCCTAAAATTCAGAGTACAAAATTTTCTTCCATGGAACCTAGCCATCCTTTATAACATCAGTTTCATGTACTTTGGGCTCCCAATAGCCACATTACTTCTGGAACCCAACCCATTTGTAAACAGGAGACTGAGTCACCAAGTCCAGATATTAAGTAACACCAGACGTTAGGAAGCAGAAGTGAGGGGCATAGCCAGAGAAGGAATCAGGAACACATTTACCTAGAAGAGAATGTGAGTGACCAAGGCAGTGAATAGTGACATAGAGATGGAGGCAGCATTAGCTGGGGGAGAAGGCAATGGGTATTGAAGAACACACCTTTTTTTTCTTTTGCAGAATGGTCTGAACATATTGCACTGTGCAGCTCAAAGGGGCCATGTACATGTGCTGGAGTTTATAATGGAAGATTTAGAGGATGTGCACCTTGATCGAATTGATAAGGTAAAAGCTATTATGAACCTACTGACATTTTTCATTTTAGGAAAATGAAGAAGTTTGATTCTGGGAGACTGGTCCAGGGGCACAGTCTTTGTAGAGTAGAGGTCTCCAACTCGCTTTCATCCATTATGTAAGCATTTATTGAGAAGAAGGGAGGGAACATTATTAAATGCCTGCTGTGTGCCAGGCACTGTGCTAAGTGCTTTATAAATATTATCTCATTTGAGTCTTACAGCAACCCTGAGCTAGGTACTATTATCATACCTATTATTGTAGTAAGTGTCTTAAATGTTAGCTATTATTGTTGTTGTTTGTGCTCCATTCTTGAAGAGGACCATGTCATCAGGAAGGTGATGCCATGACCAGCAAGTGAGTTGGATTTAAGTGAGGAAGGGCTGTGCAAAGTCACCAGCCTCACTTTCTCCTCCAGAGACATCTGGGTCCAGTGGCAAGATACAGATCAGGACAACTGGAGATGGCCCTGGATGCAGTGGGAGACCATGGCCTTTTTAAGTAAAGGTCTTTCCCAGGTCCCAGTTTGACTATGGGGCATCTAGGTGGTGCAGTGGATAGAGTGTCTGGCTTGGAGTCAGGAAGACCTGAGTTCAAGTCTGGCCTCAGATGCTTACTGGCTGTGTGACCCTGGGCAAGTCATTTAACCCTATTTGCCTCAGTTTCTTCATCTGTAAAATGAGCTGGAGCAGGAAATAGCAAAGCACTCTGGTATTCTTGCCAAGAAAACCCCAAATGGGGTCATGAAGAGTCAGACACTACTTAATAACTAAAAACCAGCAAACAAATGATTTGACTGGAACAGAGTATGTGAAGGGGGTCAGTATAAAGCTAGAGAGGCATTTTGGACCGGACCTGAAATGAGATGAGACACTCACAGGTCATTCAACAATTAACCAAATATTTACCTAGCCATAGCAGAAGAAGGATACTTGGCAAGATATGTGATGAGAACTTCCAGGGTTGGTTCCGATGAGCAAAGCGCCGTTGCCTGAATTGCCCTTTGTGGCTCACTAGCCAAGCATCTGACTACACAGGGAGCTCCTCAGGGATGTTTTGTACCAAGCAAGTGAATCCAGAAGCCTCAGCTGTGATTTCCCTGAGTCGATCACGTTTCAAGGATGAGTTCTATACCATTTAAGGAGAAATTTGCCTAACTCAGATGGGGGGAAGGGTTAGGATATTGGTCCCAATACAAAATGAGTTGGGATCAGATCAGCTCATACATTCAGTCAATCAATAAACATTGTTTAAGTGCCTACTATGGGCCAGGAGCTATGCTAAGCACTAAGGATACAAACAAAGGCAAAAGACTATCCCTGCCTTCAAGGAGCTCACAGTCTAATCGGAGAAGACAATACATAAAAGTCTGAAAAGAGAGTGAGGGAAAGAAGTAGGTGAGGGTAATGATACAGTCCAGTCCAGAGAAGTGTGGCCGGGTGAGAAATGAGACCACTGCCCTTGATGCTCAGGATAAATGGAGGGTGTAGGAGGAGCTCTCAGAAGTCCATTCTCCACCTTGTCCAATCAGAGGGAAGGAGGGCCCCCAGGGCTATGGAGTACTGATGAGGTGTGAGTCTCAGATGTGATCTTGCTGGATGGTCAGCTTCTGGAGACCGTGATGAAGTCCAGGTGCAAGCTGGGTGGGATCATGGAGAATCTTGAATGCCAGTCTGGGGATTTTTAGTTTTGTTTTTCTTTTGGACAATAGAGGAGCCATCAGCCCTCTCACCTGCAAAATGAAAAAGGCTGAACTACCTGATCCCTGAGGGCCTTTCCAGCTCTGACATTCCAAGATTCCAAGGCATCAGAGCAAATTGGTGCCCTGGAAAGATTAGCTCAGGAAGTGGTCTTTGGAGCTGGGAAAGCCTAAGAATAGAGGGACCAGTCAAAAAGCTGTTGTAATAGTCCTCTTTTGTGAGAAGTCCTCGTTCCCCCAGAGCCATGAGGAAAGGATGGTGATGATGGTAACGATTCCTACTTAGATACGTTTGCAAAGCGCTTTACATATATTGTTGTGTTTGATCACCGGGGAGGACGAAAAGTCCAAACGGCAGATTTCCCCTTCTGTGTGTGGGCATCTACCAGCTGCTCCTTCCTTCCCATTGGAGAGCCATAGAGAGGAGGCTATGACATAAGGCATGGCAACCAGCTTGGAGATCCAGCAGCTTCCAAAATCTCCCGATACTGCCAATGCCATGCATAAAGGCCCAGGAATTAGACAACACATGCTTAATCAATGAAAGGAACTCCCCCAGACCGAACTGCTGCTGGTGACCACACGATTCCTTTGTGGGGCTGAAACAGTATCTGCTCGTTCTTCCTCCATCTTGCTACATCGGGATGTGCGTTCACTTGAGAAACTGTGGACAAGCTGACTCTAGAATTGCAGGAAGGGAGACTTTGCACTGACTCACAGGCTGAGTGGGGCTTTGGCTCTCTTATCTTCCCTCACACCTCCTATTCTTCCTTTTAATTTGCTTTTTGGACACTTCTTGTGTCTCTATGCTAAACTATAGAGATTAAAATTTCCATTCCCCTGGCCGTGTGACTCCGGATTGCCTAAACGACTTATTTCCAAAGCAGTCCAATTGGCCTTGTTTATTAACAGGGTTGGGGAATATGACCCTAATAACTTAATATATAATAAGATGCAGCCTAAACTATCTGAAACATAGCTGAGAAGTTAGCAAAAGGTCCTAGGAAAGTGACGTAGAGGCCATGGAGTGGTAGTGCCAGAGTTTGTGCATTTCCTTCACAAGAAAGCCTTTTGGGGGCTCCTCCAGAGCCCATTTACTCTGATTTTAGATGCAGTTTAATAAGCTTGGTTATCTGGCTGCCCAGCTTCCAGCAGATGAGGAAAAAGAGAAAAGCTGCTGGAGTAGATGCCCTAATAGCCATGAGAAAGAGGCCTGAATATCTGGGGCAATGAGGTGGCATAGTGAATAAAGTGTTGGGCCTCGAGTCAGGAAGACTACTCTTCTTGAGTTCAAATCCAGCCTCAGACACTTACTTAGCTTTGTGACCCTGGGCAAGTCACTTAATCCTGTTTGCCTCAGTTTCCTCCTCTATAAAATGAGCTAGAGAAGGAAATGGCAATCCACTCCAATATCTCTGCCAAGAAAACCCCAAATGGAGTCACAAAGAGTCAGACTTGACTGAAACGATTAAACTTGATTTAGTCCTCTAAACCAACTACTCATTTTACAAATAAAGAAACTAGGGCCCATGAAGGGACACTGTCACTTGTCCAGGGTCACACAGGTAATAACCCACAGGGGCAAGATCGAAATCGGGAGATTTTTGAAGCTGCTGGATCTCCAAGTTGGTTGCCATGCCCTGTTTGCCACAGCCTCTTCTCCAGTGGGAAGCAAGGAGCAGCTGGTAGACAGCCTCCCTCCCCAGCCCTCACACAAAAAGGGGAAATCTGCCATTTGGACTTTTCCTCCTCCCCAGTGATCAAATACAATAATATGTGTAAAGTGCTTTGCAAACATGTCTAATACTCTCATTTTACAGCAAGTGTGTTTTTCTCACTGACAGTATACTGCCTCAAAGGTCAAATATGGGCTCTAGCACTTATTACTTGTATTGCCCTGGGCAAGTCACTTGACTTCTCTGTCCCTCAGTTTCCCCAACTGTAAAAATGAGGGAGTTGGATTTGATGACATTTAAGTTCCCTTTCACTTGTAAAGTCCTATAATAAGTTACAGCTCACTACCTGACTTTTAGATAACAGACAGAAAAACTACAAAGAGCTGATGGAGGGATTTGGATACTTCAGCAGGCTAGAAGATAGTCTCATGCACCTCAGCACATCCCTGAGGGTCTCACTGTGTTTTAGCACACAATAACCCTCTGGGTATTGTGACTTTTCCCTAGGAACTCAAATAGCATTTTTTAAAATTAAATTTTTTTTTTCAATGAACAAAAATATTTTCTTCCCCTCCTTTCCCATTGGGGGAAAAAAACCCAAATCTTTATAATATGCATAGTCAAGCAAAACAATTTCTTATGTTTGCAATGTACAGATAATATGCATAGCATTTTGTTTTATACCACTCTAATATACTTATATTATGTTGTAGTTATATTTTATTCATATTATAGAATACATCTCAAAAAGATTTTTAAAAAGGGAAAAGAATGTTTGTACAAAAATATTTATAGCAGCTCTTTTTGTGTGGCTAAGAACTGGAAGTTGAGGGAATGCCCATCAATTGAGGAATGGCTGAATAAGTTATGATATATGATTATGATAGAATATTATTGTGCTTGTCCCCCCTTGATATAAAGTTTGTGGGGACAAGATCATGCCTTTTCCAAGCTTTCTATCTCCCATAGCCTGAATACAGGCTGGTACTTAATAAATGTTAATTGGTTTAAACTAAATTATGATAACTGGAGAAGGAAATGGCAAACCACTCCAGTATCTTTGCCAAGAAAACCCCATGGACAATATTGGTGTGCTATGGTCCAGGGGGTCACGAAGAGTCAGAGGGATTTGGATACTGAACAACAAATTATGATAATGTAATAATATTTATAATAATGGCTCTGAGTCACCAAGAGAAGGTTTAAATCGTGTTCAAAATTCTGTTTGAGTAGGCAGGGAAGTATATTTGATATGTTTTTGAGAGAATCCTGTCCTCAGATTGCTCTTTTAGACAGTTTTGTTATCAATCCTCCGTTACAGCCTTACTCTGATGCCTTATTGTGTAGCAGAGATGCTTCTAGATTCTTTTTTTTTTGTTATTTTAGGCAACGGGGTTAAGTGACTTGCCCAGGGTCACACAGCCAGTAAGTGTTATGTGTCTGAGGCCAGATTTGAACTCAGGTCCTCCTGAATCCAGGGCCGGTGCTCTATCCATTGCACCAGCTAGCTGCCCCGATGCTCCTAGATTCTTGAAGCCTATCGATTCCAGCAGGCTCTACCAAGCTGGATAGGGTTTGAATGCTGTTTGTTCATTCCCTTTTCAGTTGTGTCCAACTCTTTGTGACCTCTTTTGGAGTTTTCTCTGAAAACTCCGATCTCATTTTACAGATGAGGAAACAGAGGCAAAAAGGGTGAAGTGACTTGCTCAGGGTCACACAGCTAGTAAGTGTCTGAGGCAGGATTTGAACTCAGATTTTTCTCACTGCAGGCCTGGTACTCTATCCACTGCACCAACCAGCTGCCTTAGGGTTTGAATTTGGGCTGGCAAACGTACAAGCCATCTGTGTCTGTTGAGGATCAGTCTAGCTAAATTTGAGCCAGTTTGCCATCAGAAGGGAAATAATTTTTTTTTGGCCACCGCAACTTGGAAATACTAATCTGTTTAGATGTACAGCGTATAAGGTGCTGCGGTATATTTGTCAGTAGGGATTGGGGGAGGGATACTTATGTTGATTAAAATCATGGATTCCTGATGTAATGAAGCATTGATATTTAAAGGGGTGAGTTTCAGTTAAAGGAAAAATTCATGAGTGTGCAACAGCTGAGTGCTGGATGAATGAGGCATGTTTGTACTAAGCATTTATTAACATCAGTCCTTTAGAAGGTCAAAGTTGGCTGCCCTGCTTCATAGAACTCTAGGGGTGGCTCAAGACCTTTGTGGTGCCTGCTGGGGCCCTTTTGCAGGGTCTACACCCAAGGAAATGTGATGAGGGGTTGACGGGGTGATGGAGGCTAGGGAGGAAGGGTTGGGTTGCACTGAAAATAACTGTATTCTTCTTCCTGAAATCAAAGCTGGATCGGACAGCTTTCCATCTGGCGGCTGCGCATGGGCAGCTTGACACTCTGGACTTCTTGATCGGCTTCGGCTGCGACCATGGCATCAAAGACAAGGTACAGAGAGCCGAGCCTAGGATGGCGGAGGGGAGGATGCAGAATTCCTCATCTCTTGATGGGCAGTTCTCAAAGTGTGGCCCGAGGACCCCTTGGGATCCCTGAGACCCTTTCAGAGGCTCTTCAAGGTCAAAACTATTTTCATCATAAAATATTTTAATTTCTAATACATTAAATATTGACAGATATAACCCATATAAACAAAAGCTCTTTGATGGGTCCTCACTGATTTTTAAGGGTGTAGACTAATCCCGAGATGGAAACGTTTGAGAATAAATGCTCTAGAATCATTTGATCAATGAGCACTTATCAAGGGTCCACTACGTGCCAGGCGTGTGCCAGGTGCTAGAAATACAACACTGCCCTCAAGGAGTTTCCATTCTCTGAGAGATATATCTATATCTATATCTATATATAATATAAATTATATGTAGATACAACATAGATACAAGATGATTTTTGCAGAGAAAACACTAGCAGGTGGAAGGGAAGATCAGAAATTTTTTTCATAGGGAAACAGACAAGTAAGACAGCTTTTAAAGTTTCATATTAAATTTATTATGTACTTTTTATTTTGGTGAGGCAATTGGGTTTAAGTGACTTGCCCAGAGTCACACAGCTAGTGACTCCAGGGCTGGTGTACTATCCAGTGTGCCACCTAAATTTATTATGTACTTTAAGGAAAAGGAAACTGTACATAACAGAGATTCATGACTTCATGTACAAATCCTTCGCCCCCTCCATTCTACTTTGTGTATAGAAATGCTTATTTTATTTGGTATTTAAATTCAAAAAAAATTTTTTTAAAGAAAATCCCATATAAAAGATCGCCTTTGAGTTGTGTTCCGAAGGAAACAGTGGATTCCAGGGACAGAGGAGAGGAGGGTGAATATTCCAGGTGCCAGGGACAACTAGTCACTGCTGGAAGATGGGGGGGAGGGTCACATATATGTAACAATAACAAGACCAGTTTGATAGATTACCATTTAGAAGGCCATTGCTCACACCCTCACCTGGGGCCTCTGGCTCTAATTGTGCTCTGAAGGCACTGTAGTGGAGGTTAGAGCAGGGGAGCTAAGACCTAGGAAATTCATTCTACAGTCGATGGATGGCAGGTCCTACTCAAGGTGCAAGTATGCTTTTTTTTCCCCTTGATAATTAATTTATTTTTAGTTTTCAACATTCACTTCCATAAGATTTTGAGTTTTAAATTTTCTCCCCCTCCCACTGTTCCCCTTCCCTCAAGATGGCGTACAGTTTGATATAGGCTCTACTTACACATTCATAGTAAGCATATTTTCCCATGATGTAAAGAACAATTAGAACTAATGGGAGGAACCATGAAAAGGAAGCAATAGAACAAAACAACAAAGGAAAAAGAGAGCAAATAGCATGCTTCCATCTGCATTCAGACTCCAGAGTTTTTTCTCTGGATGTGGATAGCAATTTCCTTCATGAGTCTTTTGGAGTTACCTTTGCATTGCTGTGAAGAGCCAAGTCTATCAAAGTCAGTCATCCCACAGTGTGGCTGTTACTGTATACAATGTTCTCCTGGTTCTGCATCAGTTCTATATATCTTTCTAGGTTTTTTTGAAGTCTGCCTGCTCATCATTTCTTATAGCACAATAGTATTCCATTCCATTACAACTTGCTCAGCCATTCCCCAATTGATGGGCATCCTCTCAGGTTTCTAATTCTTTGCCACCACAAAAAGAGCTGCTATGAATATTTTTGTACATGTGGGTACTTTTCCCGTTTTTATGATCTCTTTGGGATACAGACCTAGAAGTGGTATTGCTGGGTCAAAGGGTATGCACATTTTTATAGCCCTTTGGGCATAGTTCCAAATTGCTCTCCAAAATGGTTGGATCATTTCACAATTTCACATTCCACCAACAATGCATTAGTGTTCCAATTTTCCCACATCTTTTCCAACATTTATCATTGTTCTGTTTTGTCATTTTAGCCAATCTGATAGGTGTGATGTGGTACCTCAGAGTCATTTTCATTTGCATTTCTCTAATCAATAATGATTTAGAACAATTTTTCATATGATTCTAGATAGCTTTAGTTTCTTCCTCTGAAAACTGCCTGTTCATATCCTTTGACCATTTATCAATTGGGTAATGACTTGTATTATAAATTTGACTCAGTTCTCTACATATTTTAGAAGTGAGGTCTTTATCAGAGACACTGGTTATAAAAATTCTTTCCCAGTTTTCTGCTTCCCTCCTAATCTTGAATGCATTGGCTTTGTTTGTGTGAAAACTTTTCAATTTAATATAATCAAAATTATCCATTTTGCATTTAATAATGTTCTCTATCTCTTCTTTGGTCATAAATTCTTCCCTTCTCCATAGATCTGAAAGGTAAACTATTCCTTGCTCTTCTAGTTTGCTTATAGTATCAGTCTTTATATCTAAATCCTGTAACCCATTTTGACTTTATCTTGGTATAGGGTATAAGATGTTGGTCTATGCCCAGTTTCTGCCATACATTTTTCCAGTTTTCCCAGCAGTTTTTGTTAAATAGTGATTTCTTATCCCAGAAGTTAGAATCTTTGGATTTATCAAATAATAAATTAGTATAGTCATTGACTATTGTGTCTTACATACCTAACCTATTCTACTGATCCACCATTCTGTTTCTTAGCTAGTACCAAGCAGTTTTGATGATTGCTGCTTTATAATAAAATTTAAGATCTGGTACAGCTAGGCCACCTTCCCCTGCATTTCTTTTCATTAGTTCCCTTGATATTCTGGACTTTTTGTTCTTCCAGATGAATTTTGTTATTGTTTTTTCTAGCTCTATAAAATAATTTTTTGGTAGTTTGATTGGTATGGGGCTGAACAAATAAATTAATTTAGGTAAAATTGTCATTTTTATTATATTAGCTTAGCCTACCCATGAGCAACTGATATTTTTCCAATTATGTAGATCTGACTTTCTGTGAAAAGTATTTAGTAACTGTGTTCATATGTTCCCGGTTTTGTTTTGGCAGATAGACTCTCCAATATTTTATAATGTCTACAGTAATTTTAAATGGAATTTCTCTTTCTATCTCTTGCTGCTGGGCTTTGTTAGTAATATATAGGAATGCCAATGATTTTGGTGGGTTTATTTTATATCCTGCAACTTTGCTAAATATGTCTATTATTTCAAGTAATTTTTTGCTTGATTCTCTAGGGTTCTCTAAATATAGCATCATATCATCTGCAAAGAGTGATAGCTCTGGTTCTTCTTTGCCAATTCTAATGCCTTCAATTTCTTTTTCTTCTCTAAGTGCTACAGCTAACATTTCTAGCACCATATTGAACAACAGTGATGATAATGGACATCCCCGTTTCACCCCCTGCAAGTATGTTTCTTTAATACTTGGTCCCTCAAGATTCTTCAGGGTCTGAAGAGCTTGCCCATGGGTAAAACCAGTCATGAGGCAAATTATTTCTATAAACAGTCTATTAATTTATTTAAGTCATTTAGCAAACATGACATGTTGCTGAAAAGTTTTGAACAACATTCTATAAGTAATAATTAGTTTTTGAAGGGCTGCTAGATGGTACAGTGGGTAGAGCACCGGGCTTGGAATCAGGAAGACTCATCTTCATGAGTTCAAATCCAGCCACAGACTCTTACTAGCTGTGGGACTTTAGGCAAGTCACTTCATTCTGTTTGCCTCAGTTTCCTCATCTGTAAATCGAGCTGAGAAAGAAGTGAAAAACCATTCCTGTCTCTTTGCCAAGAAAACTCCAGTGTGGTTGTGAAGAGACAGACATGACTGAAAACAACTGAGTAACAATAATTAGTTTTAGGTGCTTATTCAACAAGGGGATAAAATAGAGTAGAATGTAATGGAGAAAGTGCTGGGCATGGGTTCAAATTCTGCCTCTGACACTAGCTGCATGAACTTCTCTGTGTCTCAGTCTCTTTATCTTTAAAATGAGAATAACGATAACCTGAATTGCATTTGCCTCAGTGGTTGCTGTGATCAAATGCAAGCATAAGCGAGGTGCTTTGCAAACCTTAGAATACTATATAAATGCCAGTTATTACTATTAATGTTGTTAGCAGTAGCAGCCTCAGTAGTATTAGTATGAATTAATCAATAGGCGATAAAAATCTAATATTATGTTTGTACTGATTGATCACCTGCCATGATTATAGAAATCGATGGGCAGGGTCGAATTTTCATCATTAGATGTAAGCTGTTTAGTCACAATTTTTAGAGCGGGTAAGGACCTTTAGGTTCATTAAGTCTAATCAGCTTATTTTTCACATGAGGAAACTGAGACCCAGAGAGGTGAAATCCCATTTAAGCACATACAGCTAGTTCATGGATGAAGTGGGACTAAAGTCTCACCTCCTAGAGTTGTTCAGTCATTTTCAGTTGTGTCCAACTGTTCATGACTGCATTTGGGGTTTTCTTGGTAAGGATACTGGAGTGATTTGCCATGTCCTTCTCCAGCTCATTTTACAGATGAGGAAATTGAGGCAAACAGGGTTAAGTGGCTTAGCCAGGATCACACAGCTAGTAAGTGTCTGAGACTGGATTTGAACTCAAGAAGATGAGTCTTCTGGCCAGGTACTCTATCCACTGTACCACCCAGCTGCCTTATCTCCCACAGTACTTCTCTTTAAAGATTTTTTATTGATATCTTTTCTTTTTGCATCACCTTTTCCCAACCTGTTTCCGCTTCCCTCATGCAGAGAGCCATCCTTTATTTCAAAGAACAAAAGAAAGGAATGACAACGAGCTTCAGCAAAACTGATGAGCACATCAAAGCTGACATTTATATGTAGTGTTTCAAATCCATAATCTCCTGCCTCTGCAAAGAAATGGGAAGGGTGCATTCTCCTATCTCTTCTTTGGGGGCCAACCTGGATCATTATAATTACATGGTATTCGGCTTCATTTTGCTGTTGTTTTTATTGTTCTTTCTCTCTGCCTTGGTGTAGTCATGGTGTATATTGCTTTCTGCCAATGCTTTTCCTATCTGGGG